TTTATTGATTTTAGAGAGGAAGGGAGAGGGAGAGAGAGATAGAAACATCAATGATGAGAGAGAATCATTGATCACTGCTTCCTGCACATCCCACACAGGGGATTGAATCCACAACCTAGGCATGTGCCCTGACAGGGAATTGGACTGTGACCTCCTGGTTCATAGGTCGATGCTCAATCACTGAGCTATGCAGGGCCACTATTATATTTTCCAACAGATGTCTAGCAAAGATTCAGCGCTGTAAGTTCTTAGCACCATAAGAAACTGAAGAATGTAAAAGAATGAAAAGGAGACCAGGGCATGGTATTGCAAGCTTTTCTTAGAATATTGTTATTCATACTCAAATTGGCCCTGCCAAGAAACCAAGTTACAGATTTAGAAGAATAGCAATTTCCAGGTTAGATATATTCTTGAGACTTGGATAATTCCAAGACACAGAATATGGAAAAAAATATACCAGGAGAGCTATACTGGCCTGGTACATCTTTGTATCCCATATTCCCATCTCACCTTTTTCTATTTCTTCAATTCTGTGGCTAGACTGGATTGTTAGCCATTCTTAGAATATACCCCAACATCTGTAGTCCAGTATCTGTTGCTTCCTTATGTGGTCCTTACCTCTGGCTAAAATGCCTTTCCTATTTTGTTGATATTTAGAATGTTAATTCATCCTTTACATCCTAGCCAATGCCATCTCCTTAGCGAGGCTGTCTCAGTCCTGGTGGTGGAAGAAACTGATTATCCTGTGCTTCTCCCAAATGTTGCTCTTGTATCAACCTGTTTCACTTACTAGTTTCTGTGTCTGTTTCCCTGCTAGGCTGTCAGTCTTTCTATGACAGAGGCCAAGGTTCCTACATTTGTATGTCCCTTATACCAAGTGCAAGTACCAGATAATATTTGTTGACTTATATGATCTCCCAGGAAGCATCATGCAGGCAGGGTAGAGATAAGGAGACTCCTTTCTGCCATCCTGGACAAAGCCCCGTCTTCGTTTCTCCATTCTGACCCTGTCAAGGCTTTGCTTGAGATTCACATCTCTATGCTCCACAGTTACATGTGTGACTTGTGTTTCTTATGTTAGTGAGTGTTAGTCAAACATGCTAAATGCCTACATATTCAAAACCTTAGGTATTTTTCTGGTGGTTTGGAAAGTCTTCTTGACAAATTGGAGTGGAAAAGGCACTGACTTCAGGGTTTGTTTGGCACTATCAGGTGGAACAAAGGGAAAACCATGACAGAATCAGTGATTTGATGACACCTTCTTCCAAAACATGTGAGTCAGCCCAAATTTCTCACATTATCTGAGTCACTCATTATTTGGCTTTTAAGGCACTACTCAAATTTAATCTCTAATGTGCATCTGTTCAGTCTAATTTTGCATTTTCGTAGTTATTTCATATAAAACATTTAGGGCTTTAAAATGTCAATGTTTGTTTAAAAGAATACGTCCCACATAAACGCATTCTTCCTTTCTCTCCACAGGAGAAATTTTAGGAAAACAAAGTTATTGACATTTAAAAAGCTAGTCACCTACAATATTTAGGACACTTTGGCTCCATTCATTTTTAACTTTGTTAAAAACTTTCTTCCTTCTCACCTCTGCCTTACCTCCTTACAGAGACAAAATATCAGTTACAATCATCATTTCCTCCTTTAATTTTCCTTGGGCTTCTGAGTCTCTTAATTGGTTCCTCCATGCTTATAATTTAGCTTTGGGTTAATAATGAATGTTATATTCATTTTATATATATAAACTAATCACTACTGGTTTTTATAGGACCATAAAACAAATGCTATTATTATATTACATTTTATTTTCTACAACTTTAACATGATTAAGAAATAGCATGCCCTACCAAATAGATCAGAAAATACATGCAGATTCCAGTAATTCTTGTATTAAATTAGTAACAAAGCAGGCAACAGTAGTTTTTCATAGACTGCCTGTTTTTGACCACCAATCTGGACAATAGCCAATATGAACTAGGTTATGAATGTCGCGAGTTGTCCATTTCCCAGTGAAAAGTACACTGGATCAGGATTCAGAAGACGGAGTCCATTCCCAGGATCATTTCTAATTGTGGAGTTGAATACAAGTTACATTCCTTTTGG